TTTTCCCTTGGTGGTGCGAAATTATTTGAACAATCAGTTTCCTCATAAATAGACATGACGAGGAAGTGAGTTTCCATGTCCTGCTCGGAGTCTTCTTTTTAACCCTTAGATTTTTATTTTTCGGGACATATACACATACTGTACTGACTTTCCTTATCTCGTTGGATTATTTCATTAAATCCATTAGCAAAATATAAATTAAATGGTATAAAAATATATTCTCTAGGTTTAAAAGGCCAAAAATCACAACAAAACTCAAAACCAGATAACTAAATTTTGTTTACTTCGTTTATTGAAAAATCTTATCAATATTTTGATATTTTTTTTACATATTAATTTCCTACCACATGTTTGTAAACAGCACTCTTTTAGTAGGGTATTTTGTGGTAAAGAATATCATGTTGAAGAAGTGAATACATTTTTAATTTTATATTTGTATTGAGTGTACATAACAACATAGTTCATTGTTCTGAAACTGGTCACTTTTATATCAGCTCTTATCAAATATTTCCTTGAAAATAAATCACAATTTAACTCCACAAAATTCCTAATTTAGACGGACTGACACAAAAATTGCGCATCAAAAAGTCGACTCAAATGATCATCTGGAAATGGAAAGGTTTATTGGTATCCTATTATGGACTGGCTTGTGTAAGTTGCCCACTATACGATCGTATTGGAAAAAATCATTATTATATCAAAATGGAATCAGCCGTCTTATGTCGTGGAACCATTTTGAGTTATTGCTAAGTAAGTGGCATTTTGGCGATAATAATAATAATGCTTTTGCAGATGACAGACTTTGCAAAATTACTCACCTCCTTACAGTTCTTTTAAAAAACTTTAAGTGTTAACGCCTGGTAAAAAAGTGTGCATTGACGAGCCCATGGTACCATTTCGTGGTCGACTACGATTTAGGCAATACATAAAAATAAAAGGCACAAGTTCGGTATAAAATTGTACAAGTTGTGTACGGAAGGACGGTACACTTATAATCTTCGGGTTTATTGTGGAGCGAATACCGAAAATGGTGGTCAAACATTTTCGAATGTAGTGTTTGCTCTAATGGACGATATTCTGGATTCTGGTAGAGAACTGTATACGGATAAATATTATACAAGTGTCTCCTTGGCAACCAAATTATTAGAAAGAAAGACTCATCTGGTGGGTACCCTCCTTAGCAACCGAAAATATAATCCTAAAGATGTGGTCAAAAAAAATTAAAACCAAAAGAAATATATGCCAGAGAAAGTGATTCCGGAATTATGGTCAAGAAATGGCGTGACAAGAGGGATGTGCTTATGCTCAGCACCCTTCATGGAGATAATACAAAAGAAGTATTGCAAAGAGGTGGTGTAGTAGAAAAACCTGAAGCAATAATCAATTATAACAGAGCTAAATCTTACATTGACCTGTCTGACCAAATAAAAGCATATTCCCACTGTCTACGCAGAGGAACAAAATGTCAAGAAAGCTTGAAATCGAATTATTATTGGGGTCTGCAGTTGTAAACGCTATCTTGATCTACAAGTAGGTTCATCATCATCATTATCATCACTGGCTCAACAAACCTTTTTGGGCCTTGGCCTGTTCCAGGATTCTTCGCCATTCTGATCTGTTTCGTGCTTTTTTCCTCCAGTTTTTTACTTTTAAGGTTGTTATATCATTTTCTATTTGTTTTACGTAACTCAGCTTCAGTCTTCCTCTTGTTCTTTTTCCTACTGGCATCTGTTTGAATATTTTGTTTGGTATTTCACCTTCTTCCATTCTTTCCATGTCCTATCCAACGCAGCCGTCCTATTTTAATGAATGTTATAATATCCTTCTTCTTCTTTGGGTGCCGTGTCCGTATTCAGACGTTGGCCGTCATGATGTTCACAATTTCCTGAAACCTTTCTCTGTCGGCTGCTGCGCGAAATAATTCTTCTACTGTGAAACCACACCATTGTCTAATATTACGCAGCCATGAAAGTTTCTTTCGACCAATCCATCTCTTTCCTTCCACTTTTCCTTGTATAATAAGGCGAAGTAAATGGTATTTGGGTCCTCTAATTATATGGCCGAAGTATTCTGTTTTTCTCCTCTTTATGATGTTTATGAGCAGACGTTCTGAGTTGATCATTTGAAGAACATCTTCATTGGAAGTGTGCGAAACCCACGATATCTTTAGGATTCGTCTATAGCACCACATTTCGAATGCTTCTAACTTGTTTAGCATTGTGGTTTTTAACGTCCATGTCTCACAACCATACAATAGGATCGACCACACATAACATTTCAGGACCTTCTTACGAATGTTCATTGACAGATTTCTGTTGCATAAAACTGGTTTCCAGGTCATAAAAGCCTTACGTGATATTTCGATCCTGGATATTATCTCTTCATCAGAGTCACAATTTACATTTAACCAGCTGCCAAGGTATTTGAAATGATTTACCCTTTCTATCTCTTCTCCATTAAGAGAAAGCAGACCTTGATCTATATGGATCTTTCCAACTGCCATCCACTTTGTCTTTGAAATGTTGATTTTTAGGCCTCTCCGATAACTTGCTTCACTGACTAGATTTAGTAATGTTTGGAGATCTTGTAAACTTTCTGCAAGAATGGCTGTATCGTCAGCGTATCTAATATTGTTGATTACAATATCCGGATCATGTGGCACCTAACATGTTAACTAAAATAAAATGACAACAGAGGGAAAAGAGGGGTCTCAGGCAAGTCCATTCCCTATCTGACATTTTATTTTATTTAACTGTTGAAAACTTTATTAGCAAATTACCTAATGAGCCATACATTCATCAATACAGTAACACAACCCATTATACCTACCCCAACTTATTTTCTGAACAATTAAAATAAAATTAACAATTTTTGGAATAACTGACTTAACACACCTTTTTATGACAATTAAAAAGGTTTTGTAATAGATGCAATTGCTTGTACTGTGCCAACAAACTATTGATTAAGACCCAGTCTAGATGAGAGCCAATAAACTCAACATTTATGTTAAAACTGTAAATCGAATTTGACCGCAGCACAAAAATCATTAGCTGAAGCATAAATGTCAAGTCATGTGAAAACATTCAAACACACAAGTAAAATCATTAGCTGAAGCATAAATGTCAAGTCATGTGAAAACACAAGTGTTACCAACATTCAAAGACTAAAACACTGTCTTCTAATGCTTAAACCATGATTCAACGTATAAGTACCCAAACTCAATTGTTTGTATACTAAGAAGATATATTTCCTGCTTAAATACTTTGGAGAATCAAACAAGACCTATGAACATAAATTTTTTCTCATAAAAGTGATGCAGAAGTTTGTTAGATGCCTTATATCAAGTGCATTGAAATCTGTCATAAAATAAGAACTTAGAATAAAAAATTTGCAACTGTACTTTTGTTTTTTTAGAAATCTGCTAAGCAGATAAGTCCAAATTGCACAGTTGGTACAAATAAAAAAAATTATACTAAACTGGAACAGAAGTTTGCTACTAACAAAGTTACGTTAAAAGTGCATAGGTATTATCAGCAACTTTTATAATAGTCACTCATTGACATTCATCTACATAATGATGTTATTATGTATTTACAGATTTACATTGCTAAATAAATAATAGATAAGCAATGAAAAAACAATGCTATCAGTATTTAAAAAAATACCTATCTTGTAAGTAAAAATACTTACAACATTAAAAATATATAATGCAAATCTAATATAAATAATTATTTCTAAAAGCCAACACTTGACAAGAGGAGGAAGGGAACAAATAAAAACCATCATAGTCAAAGAAACAAAGACATCCTAGATACACAGTTACAAGATGTTCATAACACTATATGAAAGTTCTATATTTGATCAATATAACAGAGTAGGATATAGTATACTTCAGTGTTCTTAACATGTAAACTTATACTAACATAAAATATATATTTTCTCATACAATTTAAGGGAATTTTTAAAATAAGGTTTTATAAACGCTGCAATAAGTATCACTAACTTTTTTTAATTTTACTTATATATTAAATAACAGTATTAAGGGAGTAGGGTATTTTTCTGAATTTTTTTACTATTTTATTCTATGGTGTAACTCATCAAGAGTATCCAGTTAAAATTTCAGAGTGATCTAATCAAAATTGATGGAGTTATAGGCATTTAGGAATGAGTGAGTTAAGTAACTGAAATGAGTGAATGAGGTGAGTTAAGTGAGATAAATGAGTGAGGTGAGTGAGTACTCACATATAAATTGCAAACTATTTACTAAAAAACTATTTGAAAATTGTTTTCACGAAATTATGCATTCTGGAATTAAATACTACCACTTGACTTTTACTTTTATATCTATATATGGAATTTATTTCCAACCTCCTGTACTACTACTAAAAAATCAATGTTTCCTGTGTTTCCTCTAGTTGTGTATTCAATGGCTCTGTATATTACATTAAGAAGAACATTACCAAGAAATATCTCAAAAGCATTGCTATATCATATTAATAAATATAATGTAAATTGTGAGGGAATTTAGGGAAAGAAACAATGTGTTTTATAAACAAATTTTTAAACTTTTCTATATGGAGACTTTAAAAGTATTCTTAGTACAATAAATATATATATTGATTCCAGTAACATTCTGAAAAATCTAATATTAAATATTAGTACAGTGTTTACAATATCTATGTTTAAATATTCTGAATGATTAACATATAAACTGAAAACAAATATGTGGACAGTTGGATTAAAAATCCAAGATTTGTAATTACAATAATTTGCTTATTATTCTACAAACATTTGATAAAATATATAGATTTAATGCAATAAAAAGGCAATAAACAAACTCCCACACAAAAACTTGAGGAAAACACTAGGTCATCATATTAAAAAAGAAACACTTGGCAGCTGATTAACAAACACATCAATCAGACCAATGAAAGTTTTTCAACAAACCCCAACCAAAGTAATAAAATAAAATTAGTATATTGTGCAAGTCAGATCCTTACCTTATGGTTGAAAACGTGGTGTGTTTCTTCAAGGGTTTTCCTCCGAAGGGCCGCTTCAAAGGGATCTATTTTAGAGCAAACATTTTGGGCTAGGAGATTCTTTTGGTCCGCGTAAAATTCTTTTCGAAAGTTACCCAAGATTTCTTCGTCCAAAAAACCTTGAACTATTTGTTTTGGCATTAAAATGTTTATTTTGCGACAAAAAAATACTTTAAAGTTGGATGATATGCAAATTTTGACAGGTGCATTTAATCTAAATAAATGCATAATTGTTTTGATCTTTTTTTTTCGATATTTCAATGATGAAAATAATTCGTATTCTTACCTTTTGTGCTAGAATCCATTATAAAACAATATTGCTTGATTAGGTAGGTCAAACTTTCCAACAAACTGGGAGGAAAAGTACTGACTTGAAAGTAAGGTAAGAGTAGAAGAAAGCAAATTGCAGAAAGCCAACCACTGAATACAAACTAACAAGTACCAAAATGCCAAATCCAAATCAACACACTCCGGACACTCCCCCTGTATCTTTAAAGTGACATTTGTAGTGTCTCCAAATCCTTATCCGTGAAAAATTCAATGATTTCCATAGAATATATGTAATTTATTGCATCTAGTACAATAAAAATTAATAAAACCAAATTAATCGATAAATTTTGATAACTTTAAAGCTACAGTAAAGAAAATATTTTACAAAAATACGAAATTTATTTTTGCCTTTTCCTTACTTATACATATGAAAGACAAAGAGCACAAGATAAATTCCATGAATTCATAAAATTTGACAAATACCCAATACCCATGATACTATGAATAACAAGATAGGATCTTCCCGTAGCTCAAAATCGGTCGGGTTCGCGCATGCCGTCATTGGAGAGTAGAATTTGAAATCTTGTTAAAGTTAAATGGGATTTGTATGCATTCTGTGATGAAATTACTAGACGAAAATAAGTTAAGAGGTTTAATAATTACAATAATCGTACACATAAGGATATCTCCAAACTATTTGTTAAAGATTATTTATTGATATATACAAAAAACTGACATTTCGAATGTGCAATTCTCCAATGACGTCACAAAACATGCGCAATATCTATCATATGATCATGCCCAATACCTTATTGTTATTTTATTTCTCTATGCCCAATACCTAACCTCAAATTACAATGTTTTGAAAAAGTCAAAGAAATTAAACTGTTAAATAACGCTGGAAAAAGTAGAATATTGGTAGAATTCTACTCAATGAAAAGATGGACAGAACTGATTTAAGAGGTATTTAAAAACCAAATTTTACATGAAAATGATTTTTAACTAATAATTATTTTTAGAACTCTTGTATAGCGATCTTCCAAATGAAATAATACAGTTACCCAGTGTTCCCACTGAAGATTCACTGCAGTATGTAAAGAACTTTTTGTCACAGAATTTACCAAGTTCAGACAGCAAAAATCTAACGGCCGATTTAAAATGGAACTTTCTATTAAAAAAGCATTCATTCGAAAAAATAAAAACTGGTTTTAAAGGCAAAAAAAGTTTCCTGACCAGAAAACAAAGAAAAGATCTTAATTTACTTAAAGTTCCCAGAGAGGGCTGGGACTATGAGCAGTTAGAGAATCTTAGAGACATGTGGAGGTCATACATGAGGGAAAACTTAGATTTAAATCGCAAAGCACCAAGCTGTACAGATCAAGAATGGAATGCTTTTAGTGTAATTGTTGCAAAGTCTGAATTAATTGGAGCTGAAATAACTGTAGTCAGATCGAAAGTTCCTAGTTTATTGAGAATGAGAGGTACTATTGTTTTAGAGACTAAAATGACCTTTCAGATAGTTACAGCAGAATCTAAGCTAAAAAGTAAGTTAGTTTTATTTTTGTATCTTGTGTATCAATTGATATGTATGTGGCAGCAAATTTGACTTCAGTATATTCAGCTGTATTTAGAAGGTGTATAAAATAGATTCTGTTTCTCTCTCGTTTCACGAATCTCATTCTTATTATCTTTTCTCTTATTTTTTCGCCATTGGTCTTTTGTCCAGTTTTTATTTAAAGTGTGTGACAAATTTTTTAAATTGTAAAAGTCGTAGATAGTATTTAAATTCTTTACATTTGTATGGTTCTGTACATACTTTTTTATCATCAACTTTGATATTTTTAGTTCGTCTTACAATTCGAAAAACAGGCAAGTAATCTGGCATCCCATAGATTGATCTGTGTTTTTTAGTGGTTTCGATACTAATATGCATAGAGTCAACTTCCATATAGGAATGTCTAGACTCTAAAAATTTGTGTTCAATAATATTTAAATGGTCCATGTTTTGAACAGCCCCTAATAGTAAGGCTGGAATATGCTGATTACGATTCTGTCCTCAGCAGCTATCAGAAAATAAATTTATTTCATTTACATATTCTGGAACACATTTTGATAAGTAGTGGAGTATATTGCTTCCTATTTCAGAACTTCCTCATCTACCCTTAATTTCTGACCAGGCAAAACAGTAAGCTGCATTTGGTAATGCGGCTTCATATACACACAAATTGTAGACGCATAATTTTCGAGAATAATATAGTTGTCCAGTCAATCCACTTGGAATCTGTAATACAGTTTGTAGATCAAAAGTAATTGAAACAAAATCCCGTTGTTCATTAGATCTTTTCTTATCATTTCAAGATTACACCTCTTTTCTTTTCTGATGTTCTCTGTAACTATCTTTGAAATCCGATTTGTCAGTTGGATTTTTGATCCTTCGATGTCGGCTCTTCCTATAATTGCGAAGCAGAATTCGCCAAGTGTTGGATTGTTCACCCATAGACAGGGAACGTGAGCTGGGTTTAGACAGTCTTGAGACAGGTTAGTTTTACCCTACTGATGACTCGTCGTTGCGATAGTAATCCTGCTCAGTACGAGAGGAACCACAGATTCGGACATTTGGTTGACGCACATACTCGAGCGGTTAATGGTGCGAAGCTACCATCCGTGGGATTATGCCTGAACGCCTCTAAGGCCGTATTCTTACTAGTCAAAGGTGGCAACGATATCTCTTGGAGTTCCTAGAGTCGAAAGGTAATGTGACAATGTAACAATGTGACTTTACTAGGCAATCGTAGTTCGCTACGATTGTCGCACGAGCCCTTATTTCCGTTGAGATTATCGGTTCACGGTGGGATCGATCCTTGCCAGTAGACCAGATCTTTAGACGGATGAACATAGGTATATACATTTTTCGATGTTGGAACTCGGAATTGTCTGTAGACGACTTACGTACCTGGCAGGGTGTTGTACCTGGTAGAGCAGTTTCCACGCTGCGATCTATTGACTCAGACCTCAGCTTGGGGATTCGTCGTGTGGGTTAGACGAGACCCCTGGTATTAAAAAATAAAGATCATATTTACTACAAACTAAACATTGATCTTTTTTAGGAACAAAAAAGCTTAAATTATAGTCGTTAGAAAATATTCTTCGATATGTAATTTCGCTAACACCTACCAGTTTCTTCTGCTCACAGTCATTTATATAAAGTTGGTACATTTTTTTATACTTAAATTTTTGTCCAAATATCTACGCTTTGAACTTTGGCGAATATCATGTAGCCCATGGTTGGAAAAGACTCAATATGAGCCTTCACGATTTTTCGGGTTTCATTGCTTGTTTTATTTGGCGGTGTATGCTTGCCTCTTTTATCCGTATCTACATAACAGCCTCGAATATCAGTTTTTCTTACAACATCTTGTATTAACGACGCTGATATATAGTGTCTTACAAAAAAATTTCTCACATACCTGTATGTCTTGACTATTCAAAGAAAGAAACACTTCTTGGACAATGCACGTGGTTTTTTTAAACTTCGACAAACTGCAATGACTCTCGTTGGTGACTCCGTTTTAATACGTGCAGTAAGAAAATTTTTCTGGCCTATATATTCTAACTTTCAATAATCACGACATTGTTTTGGTCTGTAATCTTCGCTGAAATAACTGGCACATTTGTAAAAGCACTCTAAACAATTAACTGGTTTTTATCAATTTTGCTGGTCTATTCTATTTTTTTATCTCATAAGGCAAACCCTCAGCACCCCTCCTTTTTGAGACATATATTACCAAATCTTTGGAGTTAGCTTTTCTCCAAAGTTTTAGTGGACGTATGTATTTCCATACTTTGTCCAGAAGTAGATTTAATATCCAATCCATAGCTATTTCAGTTGACACTAAATTGTTCGTGGGTGCAACTATTTCAGTATTTTCTTTCTGTGGTCTACGGCCCATATGATCCATATCCATAACGTCTGTCCATATTATACAAACACATATTTGCTGAATTCTAAAATAAATCTGCACAGCAGACATTAGCAGATAAATTATAAATACCATTAAGATCATTTGTGGTTTTAGCTTAGTAATCATTTCTAAATTTTAACACAACCCGTTTTCAGGTAGAATAAAGTAAAATCACTTAAATGTTTTTACTAGTCGATATGAAAGAGAAATTTTAATAAATCATACACGTAAAATGTATTAAAGACACTTATCACGTTTTTACTGAATATGGTATGTAGTAGTAGAAATATATTCTTGTCCGGCATAATAATATATGTGGGCTTACTTTGTTTTACATGCAACAGAACTTTAATTTTATGGAAGTAATTATCGATATATTGTTTTATTTGAAAATGAAAAGTTGGTTAGTTGTAACTTATTTGTTTATTACACAAGCTATCTGCTGAATGGTAAGTCGTATCATTTATTGGATTTTACCTGTATGTAGAGCGGAAAAAGCTGAGAATTTTGGTATACTTAACTCAATATTTTAAAATTTGTCATTTACCTGGTTTTCGCAGCATACGACATTTAATGTATGAGAGAAAATTGCGCAGTGCTATAAGTTCTTGAATTTTTAGTGGAACAGAAGTTAGGAAGGCAAAGTTAAAATATCACTAAAAAATAGGGAAATAAACAAACAAAAAGAGGGTTTAATACTGTTTTTATATATTTATAATTTTTTTTACAAAATTTACAACCTGTTTAATATCTACAATATGTTTTTTTCTTTTTAGTATTAATTAAAGCAGATTCTGTGTTTGAATTTCAACTGGACAATATAAAATTTACAGTTTTTGGAAAATACTTAATGACAAAACCGAGTGAAAGAAGTACCAAGAAAATTAGATCACAGATGACACCAGATTTATAGTTATTAAGATATTTGTATAGTTTTTTAAATTAAATTTGAAATAAAGTCTTTTACTTAACAACATTTTTAAAAACAAATAACACACAAATAAAGCTACATAATAGACACATCAGCGATGCCAACCCTACCAATTTTTAGGTAGATCTAGCGATTTTGTGACCTATAAAAATCCACCAATTTTTATTATTATACTCCTTTCATTTGTGTTTGAATTGTGTAATATATGTAAGAACTTACACTGTTCTTATAGAAAATATGTATATCAACCATGCTGAAGAAGAGTGTTACAACTCAAAATTCTCTGTTTTCTAGATTCATGTAGTAATTAACCGAAAAAGTGGTCTACTTTTCTGAGAAAAATGATTATAACTTTAGTTCAATATCTGTATGCGAGCTTGCGACATGCAAAATAAGAACTGATTCATAGAATATTATGAGATAAATAATTGACATATTATATAGTTACTATAATATGCCTTAATATTTTTTTCTACTCTCATTTTATCCCAGCGGTACTTTTCAGTACCATATTGTTTTAGTAACAACACAACATCAATTATAAAAATGAAATTGTTTAAAATTTATTAAAAAATGTTTATAGGATCTTCTATTCAGTAAAAAAGTATTATATCTAATCTGGGATGTAAGGATGGTTCCGGGTACTGGTACTTCTAAGTACCTCTGGGACTGAAAGGGTTTAACAAAGCATAGGTTTCCAGCTAGTGTTTACTAACAAAAGCGACGTTGTCAACTGTTTGTTATTCTTCGATTTCAGGGAAAATTAAAATATTCAGAATCATTTGCAATTATCAATTTTGCCCCTTTACCTTTAAATAAATTTCATCCCATTTTACGGTATAGGAAATTGTCAATAGGCCAAAATTCAAAATGTAGTGAAATAATAATTTAGCTGCAGCAAAAAAAGTCAATTTGTAGATAAAAGAAGAAAAAATAACTTTTAATTAAATATGTATTGCTTACTGTTCACAAAATAAATAAATAAAAGAATTCTGAAATATTCTTAATAGCATATTATCATTTATTATCTAGTAATTTATCTATATTTAAGTTCTACATTTTCTGTGAATAACAACCTCCTCCTGAAGTTACTATGACTGTCAAAGCAAAGACCCACAAATACGTTTTTAAAGACAAGACACCAACTGGTCCAATTTCAAGTCCTTTAGGCTTTGTAGAATTTATCATCATTATTAATTTCTTTCGTTGATTTGTGTTGGATTCTTCGTACCAGTTGCTGTTACAAATGGCTGATCCTACACTTGAACTCTGAAATCAATATTTATTTTAATAAAAAAACAATGTTCGAGAAATTTAATACATATATGATTGTTAGTAAAAAATGCTTGTTTATAAAAGTAAATGGAAAACTAGTAACAAGACGTTGGCTGTGAATTTCAGTAAAAGTTACTGTAATATAGGCTGATACTGTGGAGCACCCAGAATTTTTCGTAGGGGAGGTTTTGAAATTTTTTGAGTCCGTAAAATTTGGGTTTTAGTTTAATTTAAAGTACTAAAGATATCTTATCTATTGTTCTGAAGCTATTTTCTTGTGGCATTTTAAAGTAATTACTATTTTAATGGGAATAAGCCATAATTGAAGGTTAAAATAAGTTTATTGACGTTTGACATTGATCCAACTTGTAAATACAATACATTCTGGAGACGGCTATCGCCGTATTCCCCTTCTCCTCCGCCAATCCTCCCGGTCCAAGGCATGCTCCTGCTCCAAACCTCTCGATTTGGTATCGATCGAAAGTGGTAGAGGTCTACCACTTTTTTTTCTTTCAGGGGGCTTCAATTTTTTACTTTTTTGGGGCCAACATTCTTCAGGAATTCTTAATAGGTGTCCAAACCATTTTGAACCTCTTACTATTCTCTCAGTGACCGTCTCTGTAGCATTCATGTAATTTCTTATAAATTCGTTGGTCTTCTTTTCCTGGCTTGATGTTCTAACACTTCTTCTCAAATAATCCATTTCAACTGCCAATAATCTTCTCTTCAGAGCAATAACAAAGAACTGGTTCAACCATGGTTTGCCCTAATCTCTTTTTGTTCCTTTTGGAAATGCTGCGATCCCACCATAAGGAGTTTAAACATCTAACAATTTTACATCCCTGATTAATTGGGTATTTAATTTCGGTGTCTCCAAAGCCGTTCTTAGCAATTAGTGCACCTAAATATTTAAATTTTTCCACGTGTTTGATTTCCACTTCCTCGTCTATCGACACTTCCAACCTTTCATGTGAATTGATAACTAAATATTCCGTTTTCTTCCTGCTAACTTGTCCTTAAACTCCCATTTAACATATTCTCTGTATAGACGCTTTATCATAAATTCTAGGTCATAAGAATCTTGAGCTAGGACGACTTGGTCATCCGCAAAGTTCAGGGAGAACAGTACCTGATTTCCTATGGGGATTCCCATTCCTTGGCAGTGGTTTTTCCAATTTTGGAGGGCTGCCTTAATATATAAATTAAACTAATTACTATTTAAAGGGGAATAAGCCACAATTAAAGGTTAAAGTACGTTTATTGACGTTTCAATTTCCACTTCAGAAATTTACTAATGTTTGTATTTTGAGAACGATTTCCGAAGTGGAAATTGAAACGTCAATAAACGTACCTACTTTAACCTTTAATTGTGGATTATTTCCATTTAAATAGTAATTCATTTAAAATGTCACAAGAAAATAGCTTCAGAACAATAAATTAAACAGTAAGGGTGACATACTGCATCCTTGTTTTAGTCCTTAGTTAGATACTTTTATTGGCTCTGAAAGTCTATTTCCGAATTATAGGTAAGTGTAAGTAATCTTATCCCTGTATACTTCTGTGATTATTCCTAAAAGGTATGGACAAATGTCGAGTTGTTGTAAAGCTTGCCACAATTGAAGTCTTGGAACTGTATCATACGCCTTTTCTAGATCGATGAAGGCTAGATGTATTTCGGTACCAACGGCTATTCTTTTTTCTATTAATTTATGGAATATAAACAAGTTATCAGTGCAAGATCAAAGATTCAAACGTCAATAAACTTATTTTAACCTTTAATTGTGGCTTATTCCCATTAATATAGTAATTAGATCTTATCTCTGTCGTTGGCCTGGTTGGTTTTTTCTTTTTAATAACTGCTCGGATGTAATTGTGAACACTGTTCCATCCCTCCATACTTACCTTCATCTTCACGATCATCTCTCTTACAGTCACAGGGTTCATACCTATTTCTTTATATATTCTGTTTCTCTCCACTGTACATCTATGACACTCCAGCATTGTGTGAGTAACAATGTCGGAATATTCGCAGTGTATGTATGCATTTATCTGTATCTGTCTTTCTAAACCTATGCAGATACGTCCTAAAACAGACAATCTACCCAGACCCTTAGGCTGGGGATCCGCATCTTGGTCCACTGGGCAACATCTTCATTGTTGTTCCACTCTTCTTGCCATCTTTCCATCGATCTTTCCCTATCTTCTTTTTTTTATAGCTGTTGTCAAATGTTCTCTTCTCTCATAGAGATGTCTCTTTTCTACTGTTAACACATGCAGAGGAACACAACCCGTGATAGACGCCGCAGATACCTACAGTTCTGTAAGACTCGCAACAGTCTCGTTCTGTGTACTTTTGTCATAAGCCTAATAGTAGGTGTCTATATCTAAATATAATGAAAAATATTATTAATTATTGAGTATTTATGTAATAATTATTGTGTTCTACATATTTAAAGTGGTAATTTAATTATTCAATTAGTGTTTTGGATTACTTTTCCTACTTTTCTTTATATATTTTTTACTTTATATGCCCTGGGGGGGGGGATTAACTCCCAAAACTCCACCAAGGTGCACCACAGGGCTGATACATTATTGGATTCTAACCAATTATCTTGCTTAAAATCTATTCAAATTGTTTGGAAACATTCTGTATTTTTTAAAAATTCTTATTTTATTATACTTCTTTGTTTTAGATTGATTTGACTATGGAAAACGATATATTTTCTGAATTATTTAACTCCATCGATGAGTTGGAACATCCCTCAGAAGCTTCAACCTCTTCTTCTTGTTATTTTTCAACCAAGGAGGAGGACTGGACTCCAAAAAAGTTCAGTTTTTATAATACACCAGAAGAAGGGTACGCCATAATTTACGGACAATTTCAGTCTTTTTGTTTGTTGAAAGATAAGTTAAACCAATTCGAAAAAGAACAAGAAGAGTTTTCAAACAGTGAAACTATTATTGAAAATGAAATTAAAAAACTAACAAGTGATTTAAGTGCGTTGATGGAAAAGAAAAAAAAGTGAAGTTATGATTAAACACATTAAAAAGAATATGAACACGATTTTTAGTACTTTTAAGAAATAGTTATTTTGTATATATTAATATAAGATTAGTAATAATTTGTATTAGTTTCAAAAATAAATTTATCTTTCTACGTCTTTATTTTATTTATTAATTAAGTAGGAATAATGTAAATTGGTTTTAATAGTTGAAATCATATTGTAGTTAACTATTTTAAATGGAAAATAAGTCACTATTTCATTTAAAATAGTTAACTATATTAAGATGCCACAAGAAAATAATTTCAAAACATTATTAAAATCGTATTGTAGTTAACTGTTTAAATGGAAAAAATAAGTCAGAATTTCATTTAAAATAGTTAACTATATTAAGATGTCGCAAGAAAATAGTTTCAAAACATTATTAAAATCATATTGATTGAATAAATCGTATATGTTTAGAAGAAACTCGGTTGTTAAAAATGCCGAAGCGTGAATAGATGTGATAATTATATTACCATACTTGTTTCATTCAGAGACGGCTGCATAAATCATTCTCAGTTTATATAGGGTGGAGAGGGTTCAAGAAACAATAATTTTCTTGTCATCATCATCCAGCCTCAATAGTCCACTGCTGAACATAGGCCTCTTCCTCATGTTTCCAACCCCATCTATCTTGCGCCGCTCTTATCCAGTTTTTATTGAGTCTTCTTAAATCGTCAGTCCATCTTGTAGGTGGTCGACCGACGCTTCTCTTGTCTTC